CACACGGGTCCTCTGGTGGTACTTTCCTCAGTCTTCTGTTTGACCTTCGAAGTTCATAGTATCTGAGATTGCGGGGTTGCCGCTCACCTTCTGTCTTGAATTGCAGCTGAACAACCCTGAGATGGTGGAAGGACTCGTCCTGATCAATGTGAACCCTTGTGCAGAAGGCTGGATGGATTGGGCCGCGTCCAAGGTGAGGCTGGGGGTCAGGGCCAGGGTCAGGGGTCAGGGCCAGGGGCCAGGGTCAGGGCCAGGGCCAGGTGCAGGGTCAGGGCCAGGTGCAGGGTCAGGGCCAGGGCCAGGATCAGGATCAGGGTCAGGGCTGGGGCCAGGGTCAGGACCAGGGCCAGGCGGGTGGAACAGGTGTGCCCACCCAAACCCCTCCTAGCCTCCTCCTCCCCACCCCTGCAAAGAAAGCAGTTTTCCTTTGCTTTGCTTGGAATAGTAAACATGACCTTAGCCATTTGCCATTCAGAAGATTTCAGTAGGACAGTGTGGTCTAAACCAGACATCCCATGGGGACATGAGTCCTCGAGCCAGCTTTGATAAGCATAGCTTGGGTTAAGAAGTGTTTGCTGAAGAGCTAACATGTACTGGGCTTTGCTCGAGACACTGGTAATAAAAAGAGGAACAAGACAAAGGCCTCTAATCTCAGGAATCCGTATGTTATTGATGACAAAGAAGAGTGTGTTTAGGACCAACACTGCCACTCAGTTTGATGACAATAATAATTAGCTAGTGTGTCCAGAGTATTTACCAGGTGCTGTTTGTACTCTGACCGCATTTAATCCTCCCATTGATTCCAGGAAGTGGGGATTTTTGTAACTAGGTTCCAGAAGAGGAAACTGAGGCTCAGAGTGGTGAAGAAAGCTGTCCAAGGTCCCGCAAAGCTAGGCAGTGGGAGCACTGGGGCTGAATGCAGATCCCGTGGACTCTGTAGTCCTTGGGCCTTACCCCCTGCTTCCCTCCCCGGTCTCATCCAGCAGGTGTCGAATGGCCCCTCACCCCAAGTACTGCGGGTTTGGGAATCCAGAGGGGGCAGGACCCATGCCTGCCTGGAGGAGAGGGACCCATGCTGTCTCAGGAAGCTCTGCTCTGGCTGGTGTCCTAGCATTCCTTGTTTATCTTTTAAAAATGATTATTGTGTTTTTTCATAAAGGCGCCAGTATTTGCCAAGGAAAGGGGGTAGTTGTTCCAGTTGAAAGAGGACAGAACCTTTCCAGTGGGGGTGATCCTCATCTTTCATTTCAAAAGTATGTTTTTGCCAAGTGTTGGGAGGCTGTCGCAGACCGAGGTTTGAAGAGGTGTGCCCCTCCCTGTTACCTCCCACCCCTGTCTTGGCCACTCTGATACTGCATTTCTTTCTGGAACCTTCTGCCAACAGGCAAGAGCCCATCTCTCCCATCTGCGTGATATTCAGGAGCAGAGCACACTCCCTGTTTTTTATTTTATTTTCCAGGAAAGGAAGTGATGTTCCCATCAGCCAGTTTGGCTCCTGGGTAACTGTTCTGAGCCAGACGTGGAGGGCTGGGGACATTGACTGTTGGCTACAGTGGAGCCTGAGGAATGTCCGTGTGGCCTTAGTATCTACACCATATCCTTCCTTTCCAACCCCAAGAGAAAAAAGACCTATATCAGGAGTAGTCTTTATATGTCAGGCACTGGCGTCAGATCCTGTGACACGTGTGGTTGCCTCGTGTTATCCTCACCTTGACCTTGTGACTTTGAAGCTCCTGGCACAGCTGCTTATAGATGAGAGGCTTGAGCTTCAGAGGCTCTGCACCCCGCCCAGGCCCTCACAGCGGGGGTATGGCGGGACCCCCAATCTAGAGAACCCCCAGGTCTAGAGCTTCTCTATCCTGCCAGTCCTTGCCTGACAGTGAAGTTGGTCAGCACACATTTATGGACCTCCCGCTGTATGCCGAGCATTTATGGAGCTCCTGCTGCATACCTAGCATTTATGGCGCTCCTGCTGTATACCTAGTGTTGCGTTGGGGAGAGGGAGAGAGGAGAAAGTTGGCAATGTCTTTAGTGACCTCCATATATTCCAAGAGAGGATACTGGCTGGAGGGGGCGCATTTAGAGGATCATACAGGAAGGCTAGTTCAAGGTAAGCAGATTCTGGGTATAGACTGGCAGAGCTCAGTGTGTGTTTAGAGGAAATGGATGGGGGCCCTCCTTGTGAGAACCTAGTATGCTATGGTACAGGGGAAGCTAGGAGCAGGTTGGGTCTCTGTTCAGCACATGTTCGCCGTGCGTCTCCTGTGCATGGGGCTCTGAGAATAAGCGATTGGTGGAGACTCAGGCGCTGCCTTCCGGGGGGCGCCCCAGGTCCTGTAGGCAACTGGAACAGGTAACCAAGTTCCCATGAGGGGGCCGTCTTCAGATTTAAGTGCAGGGAGCCCAGCACTTCCAGCCTGCCCTTGCAGGCAGGCTTTGCTGACCCACCACCGCAAACACCTGTTCTAATCACACCTGCTTTTGCCCTCCCCAGATCTCCGGGTGGACCCAAGCCCTTCCAGACATGGTGGTGTCCCACCTCTTTGGGAAGGTGAGTAGCATGGCCTGGCGTTCTGTCATTCATGCTGAGCTGCACGTGCGTCGGGCCCAGAGGCGAGCCGGACACAAGCCAGTGGGGCCGCCTGCTGATGCCCACCTCGTCCGTAGTGCGACGTGACCGATTTCAAATCAGGTCATGGCTCACTCTCTTTTTAACATAAGGCTTTTTAAACGAGCCTTGTTGAAGTCCACCAAACTGTCCGTATTGGAAGTACAAAATTTAACAGATGTTGACACATGCATACACCCATAGAACGCCACTGAAATTGAGATAATGATCATATCCATCACCCCCAAAGCCCCCCTGGGCCCCTTGCTAATCCTTGCCTCCCTCCCTGCTCCTCAGACAACCTCTGATCTGCTTACTGTCCCTAGAGGTGAGTTTGTATTTCCTAGATTTTTATATAAATGGCATCATACAGTATGTACTCTCGTTTCACTCGGCACAGTTATTTTGAGATCCATCGCTGTTGTTGGGTTTATCAGGGTTTATCAGGAGCTCGCTCGTTTTCGGTGCTGGGCGGTGTTCTGTGGTGCTGACGTGCTGCACTTGGTTTTTCCATTCACCTGCTGATGGCCATTTGGGTTCTTTCCAGTTTGGGGCTATTACCAATAAGACCTACAACACACACATCCATGGCGTTTGCCGTGTACCCTGCTCGGTCCTAAGGATTTTACAAATACTAACCCATGGACTCCCTCCAGAACTGTATGAACCATGTGAAAAGTACTTGTTTTATTCCCAGTTTATGGATGAGATCAGAGAGGTTGATTGACTTGTGTGAGGTTGCACAGCCAGGGCGAGGCGGGGCTGGGATTGGAAGCTATATGTCTGGCTCTGGAGCATGTTCCCGCATCCAGAGCAGGACCCTGGCCTTCTGTACTTCTGCTGTTTCTCAGTCACCCCAGCCAGGCCCCTGTCCTCCTCTGGGCAGCCAGCGTGGCCCCTGACTCTGGCCCACAGCCCCCGGGGAGGATGTGCGGGGTGACCGACGCAAGCCCAGACACTGCCCGGCTCGATTTGCTCTGTGCACCGTGTGGCCCGCTCGAGAGCATGACCATCTGAGATGCGACCGCATGTCCCCCTTTGGGCTTGGCCACGTGTGCCCACTACGTTTGGTCTTCATGTTATTTTCCCGGGGCTGCTGTAAGAAGCACCCCAGACTGGGCGGCTTTCAATAGCAGAAATGGACTCTGTCTCGGTTGTGGAGGCCAGTACTCTGAAATGGAATGTTGGTGGGGCCACACTCCGTCCAGTGGTCCTTGGGGGGGATTCTTCCTTGCTTTTCTAGCTTCTGGTGCCTTCAGAATCCCCCGGCTCGTGGCTGAGCCCTCCAGGCTCTGTCTCTGTCTTCGGTGGCCTCTCCATGTCTGTTTCAAATCTCCTTCTGGGGGCGCCTCAGTTGAGCGCCCGACTTGATTTCAGCTCAAGTCATGATCTCAGGGTTGTGAGATCGAGTCCCGCAGCAGGCTGTGCGCTCAGCATGGAGTCTGTCTGTTCCTCCCCTTCTGCTCCCCTCCGCCCCTGACTCATGCTCTCTCTCTCAAATAAATAAATAAATAAATAAAATCTTAAAAAAAAAACCCTCCCTCTGCCTTTCTCTTAGAAGGACACTTGCCATTAGATTTAGGACCTACTGGTATAATCTTTAATGATGTGCTCAGGATCCTTCACTTAATGACATCTACAAAGACTTCTTTTCCAAATAAGTTAGCGTTCATGGTGACCGGGGGTTTGACATGGACACGGCCTTTGGGGCCAGCCTGCAGCCCACGGTAGCCTTCTTCCCCTCGTCTGTGCTCCATTTAGTTTGTGATACATTTTCTTCCCCCCCGAGTGTATAATCTGAACCTTAGAGGAATATGGAAAAAATTAAAGCCAGTTTCTGTATTTCCTTGCAGGAGGGGCTGTCAAATATAGGGTGAGAGTCTGGTCTGCTTATACCCACATTACTTGAGGTATCTGTTGGAGCTCCCAGGTTGCTGTAGTTGTTGTGTGTTGTGTTTTAATCTGAAACCCCAGCACGATTAATTCCTTAGATGGTCTTTTCCCTGACTTTCTAACAGCATGTTGGCCTTTTTGTTGCTTTAATGATCATGGACTGTTACAGATAATAGCTCGGGCTGGACATGGGGCCCCCTTTGCTCCCTCCCTGTCCTGCTCTGGTCGCCACTGATCATATCAGGCCATTTTGTGGAACCTACACATCCGCTGTTTTACAAATGAGAAACAGAGCAGGCTCGTAACTTGTTTGTTTGTCCCAAATCACATTCAGAAAGGAAGCAGGGAGAGGGAAGGCTGAGGCTTCTGTAGACCTCTGGCTGGCTCCGCTAGGAATTGAGATGGCCCTTCTTTCCAGAAACTTCACGGGAGTTGCATGAGTTGGTTTTGTGTTTCCAGCATGAAAAACTTCTCAATTTCCCCTTAAAAACATTAATTGCTAACAGTTGCATCAATTTTTTACTATTTACAGAGGGCTTTTGTGTGCAAGACCTCTGCTAAATCCCACAACCTGATGACATAGGTAATAGCCACCCCCCCTTTATTTTTGAGGGGACTGAGGCTCGGAGAGGTTAAGACACTTGCCCCCCAAAAAGGGCAGTGACGGAGCCAAACTCCAGATTCAGGAGGACTGACTTCAAATACCGAAGAAGTGAGGAACCCAGAAGGGCATGCTTTGCCCTTGGCAGGTTTGCATTCCTTCCTGTTACCAGCTGCTAGGCAAAATCAGACTGCATTTCCCCGGTGTGCTCAGGCTCCCTGGCAGTCAAGTGCATTAGGCCTTATTACCTCTGTACCTGTATTACCTGAAAAATGGAGGCACTGTGCCGCGGTCCCAGCAAAGGCTATCTCCCCCCTCTCTAAATGCAGGAGGAAATGCAGAACAACGTGGAGGTGGTCCACACCTACCGCCAGCACATCGTGAATGACATGAACCCCGGCAACCTGCACCTGTTCATCAATGCCTACAACAGGTATTGGGACACGGCACCGATCGAGTTTCTTTTCGTTGGTCTGGAACATGGAATAAGGCAGAGGGGGCTTACAGAATTAGCAGAAGATACAGCCCCTGGATTTGAGCAAAGAGATGGCTGGGACAGGGAGTCAGGTGCCTCCTGGAGTTCTGGTGTTTTGCAAGGAGCTGAGCTACCATCCAGACCCCCGGGGTGGGGGGTGGGGAGGTGAGCACAAGGGAGACACAGTCACGCCCTCACAGGGTTTGGAGTAAGTGCCTGTGCCCTGGCTGACTGTAAGGAGAGGCCAGGTGTGAGGAGGGTGAAGAGAGCAAGCGACAGAGCGCTGGGGGGGTTGAGGAGGGGGGAGGAGTCCAGAGAAGCTGCTGGGAGGTGAGTCATGCCAAGGACAAGGAGCACATCCCTCCAGCCTTGGGCCAGGGGCTAGCCCTCTTCATGATAATGAGGGCCTGGTCTGGACCTCAGCTAGGGGAGGGGACAGCCCGGGAATACTGGTGTCAGCCAGGGGACGCAGTCTGCCGTGCTGCCATGAAGGGGACAGGAGGGAGCCTCATGGGCTGCCTCTCCTCACGGTCAGTAACTAACTTCATGAAGGGCATTAGCATCTGTGACAAAGTTCAGTGTCCGTCTCCTCTTACCATCTTCCCGGCATCCCGCCTCTCGGTGCGGGAGGGAGAGGTCGTGTCCCCAATGGGTAACTACAGACGTGGGACTCCACAGAGCAGTTCTTCAGCAGACACTTCTCGAGAGCTGGGGCTCTCAGGCTATCAGCTAGGCAGTGGACACGCAGAGACCAGGACAGCCCCCCAAACCCCACACACTGCCTTGCCCTCATTATGCCCATAGAAATCAAGTGAATCCTCTTCAAAATCCTGGGACGCTGTTACCATTAGCATTTCCTCTTGAGGTAGCACAGGCACAGAGAGGTTCAGCATTCTGCCCAAAGTCACACAGCGAGGAAGTGGAGGGCTGTGCTTTGAATCCAGCCTGTCTGGCTTCAGGCCATGCTCTGGCAAAGGGTGTCTGGTGGTGGGAGCCGCCAGGAGGCGAGAGGCTGGGTCGAGGTCTGCGGGGGCGAGCCATGGGGCTGGCCGGGCCCACACTGGGCATGACGCCGCACAGTGGGAAACTGTGGGAGGCTTTGAAATGGGGGAGGGAAAGGATCAGGTCTGAGATCTAAAAGAGATTGTGTAGAGGACTCAGGTTGGGGGCAAGGAGGTGGGCTCCACGGGAAATGCATCAGTCCCACTGTCCTGAAACCAATTACACGGACCCCAAGAGGCTGTGATGTCCTAAGAGCCATGCAGGTTGGGACACAGGTGGTTTGCTAGAAGGGCTAATGGCAGGACCTCCTGGGATCAGCGAGATGGGAGGGGATGCCTGTGTAACCATGTAACTGTGCATCTGTTGTCCGCAGCCGGCGGGACCTGGAGATTGAGCGGCCGATGCCCGGAACCCACACAGTCACCCTGCAGTGAGTGGCCTTTCTCCCCTTCACCGTCTTGTCACCTTGCTCAGCCACTGGCAGGACCTTCTTTCTATGTTTGGCGGGAGTGGTGCTCTGTGCCAGGACATCGTAATCGGCAAGCCCTGGGTGTATTCTTCCCAGGAGTCAGGCACGACCCAGTCTCAGTCGCCTACTCCTTGTGCAGGGGTTCAGTTCCCGGGGTGTCCCTGAGACCTGGGTGGGAGCCTTGGATCTCAGAGAAGCAGCGCCGAGTATACTTGGGATAGAATTTATTAAGCACCTGCTCTATGTTGAATACTGAGTTAGGCTTTGCTTTCACAGAGCCTGGAGCTGAGTAAGACATGAGTCCCACCCTAAAGTGCCCTATAAGGCTAGGAGGAAAAGACAGTCATGGGTACAACTAACTGCATTCCACCAGTATCGTCTGTCTTTTGTGGTTTCTGTAAGTGAACCGTATTATTTAACACCTGAACTCGACGTGCCATTCCCTTTGTCAGGCATGTCCTCTTGGTCTCTGGTCTTGATCGGTGGCAAAGTCCTACTCATCCTTCGTTGAGGAGAGGATGCTTGAAACTAAAACCAGGAGGGCCCAGAAAGTCTCTGGCTGAAATTCATACTAAGGTGTAAATGACTGCAGTCCCAGTGTATCCTAAGAACAAAGCAGAGGATGGAAGGAGAAGGAAGTAAAAAGAGCAAAGGGTACTGAGGAAACCAAAATAAGTGTTTTTAGAACTCTGCTCCCAGCCTGGGAGGCCTGGGAGCATGTGAATCTTTAAATAAACTTTGTGTTAACTCCCTCTTCTCTCCCTGCCCCCAGGTGCCCTTCTTTGTTGGTGGTTGGAGACAGTTCTCCTGCTGTGGATGCTGTGGTATGTAGGAATCATTCACTTGTTTCTGTGCTTAATTTGACAGTCCAGACCTGGTTGGCTTTTGGGCAGAGGGCCCAGACACCAGCCTCTTTCCCTGGTGACTGCCAGCCCTGTTTGCTTGGCACCAGGTCCTCTGTCTTTTCTCCCAGGCCCCAACACCTGCCAGTCTGCCTCCCATTGGTTTGTTTCGATGGGCATGTTTGTCACTTAGCTTCCTGGCCAACAGACTCTCCTCTCATTTGGAAATCAGAGTTTTCAGACCTGGTTGGTGCCTGATTGTCTGGCAGGGCAGAGGGGTGCCTGGGGAATGGGGCTTAGACAAGGCCTTCTGGGTCGTTTCATCCCTTAATTCCCAGCTGTGATGTGGAGGCAAAGCACAGACTCGACCCTTCCGACGTCCCCGTAGCTGGAGACAGGGAAGCTTAGGGGTTATTGAGCAGAGTCCTAAAGTGGTGACACGCCTTGTGCAGTGGGCTACAGAGTAGGATTTGCGGAGGGACCATGAGTTTCCCGTGATCTAACCCACTGGGCATAATCATTGGATGCATCAGCAGAGATACATTGTTCACATGAAGGGAGGTGATAGTTCTGCTGCAGGCACTTTGAACATCACTGGTTACATGTGGGTATTTTGCCCAATTTTGGATGCACTTCTGAGATGGTCATTGACAAATTAAATTAGTGGATGTCACTTTGTCTGAAGAATAGTTGTCAGGACTAGAGATGTTGTACTTGTAGAATCTCTGGCAACAGCTGGTTAAATAAGTCCATTCATTTAGCAGTTATTTCTGGAGCATCTACTAGGTGTTAGCTCGTCTTTGTAACAACCCTTTGAAAAAAGGATATTATCCCCACTTTATGGATAAAGAAACCGAGGCTCCAAGAAATTAAGTAACTTGTCCACGGTCACTCAGTTAGTAATGGCAGGGCTGGAATTTATAGCCATGTTGCTTCATCTCGAAGCCCACATTCTTTCCTCCACGCTAGGGGGGAACACAGGCGTTGCTGCTGATGGTGGCAGCGAAGGGGGAAGGCTGATGACATTGGCTCTAGACGGAAAATTAACAGATTTCTTCTCCCTTTCCTTGTCCAGGTGGAGTGCAACTCGAAATTGGACCCAACAAAGACTACTCTCCTCAAGGTACAGGCAGAATGAAACCCCTAGTCTGCTGCAGAATGGAGTTGTGCTTAATTGAGGCACAGCTGGTGGTCAGAGACCATAGAAATAATTATTTAACGTATGCGTTCACGAACATCTATCTGTTGTGGGGCCCCGGCTGGACTCCCTAGGCTGCAGAGATGAAGGGAACCCTTTCTGGGACCCCGAGAGTCTATGGGCTGCTGGCCGTGGTGCTCTGCTGAGGGACGGACCGGGAGTTGTGCAAGCAGGGGCTCTCCCAAGGGTGGGGCTGGGCGTTCCTCCGAGAGGGGCTCTGCCACAGGAGGGCAGGACTCTGTCCAGCAGGTTCTTCTGGGCGCTTGAGACGCTCGCTGTCCCTGAGGCCGGGTTGAGGGTCTGTGGCCTCCCTGCCCGCGCAATCCAGCCACCATGGTGTTTGTGGCAGCCTTGGCCCAAAGGCACCACGCAAGATGAGGACCTGTTGGGGTTGTAGCCCCCGGGGAGGGCAGGTGACCCAGGAAGGGCCTGTGTGAAATGAGGGGGCAAGAGGAGCTGAGGGTCTGTGGGTCACTCAGCGGCCCTGTGAAAGGCAGCTGGAGGCGTCTGATGCTCAGGAGGGGGACCTGGTCCCCGGAACTGGCTCTTCACATGCCTTTTCTATCAAGATTCCCTCTCAAGGAAATTGCAAGACTGGAAGATGCTGGGCTTTGGGTCCCAGGGGGCTGCTGATTGGCTAACCCGGGAGCCCCTTTGTCTTAACTATCCCAACACATCTGTGTCTGGACTCCGGCAACATCGGGGCTTCTGTCCCAGGAGAAGGACGGACAGGCCACAGTTACTGCTGTAGGGAGAGGAGAAAGGAGCATTCGAGAAGGCGGAGGGTTCGTCTCCTCGTCTCCATTGCTCAGATCAAGCAGTTTCTGTCTTAGGGAACGTTTAAAGAGAATGTGTGTGTACAGGGCCTCCCTCACTGAAGGCTTTCTGGTCACACGGACCCTGGCGGGAGGCTTGCAGGTTCTTCGCACTCTCTCAGGCCCAGTGTGTGCCCCTGCATTGGGACAGGCACACCTTCCGGTTCTCGACGAACTGAGGGAAATTCCTTCCAGGGCGTAGCAGGGCATCTGGCGTCTCGGTTGTCAAGAAGACACAGATCAGTGCCAAGATGGATTATAACAAGAGCAGCCTTGCTAGGTGGGGATGGGTGTTTCCCCACCCGTAAGGTGCCCAGTGCCCCCAGAATGGGGCTGAATGGGGGCAGGGCAACGGCAGGTGGGCCCCATGGGGAGGGACGCCTCTGCTGTGGTGTTCGGCACTGACCAGCTTCCCTCTCTCCCAGATGGCGGATTGTGGTGGCCTCCCGCAGATCTCCCAGGTGAGTCCCACCTGTCACCACTCCCCAGCTGGAGGGCAGGTGCTCTGTGTCCTGTTAGCACCTATTCCCCCACTGTCTCCTAGTCCCCCACCTCACTATGACATCTGATGACACTGTGGACACGTTACTATTTACAAAAGGTGCTTGCACATCAGGACTCGATCACCTAGGAACCCCCACATGGTGGATGACACTGGGGTTCACAGGGGGGAGGGGGTTTGATGCATGGATACGGCTTGACACCTGTGGACCCGAGTCTAGGTGTGTCTGGTGTTTGACCTCAGAGACCACACGCTTCTGCCAGAGCTCCAGGCCCGAGCAGAGGGGGCAGAGAGGAGGTGGTTGTCTTTTCCACCAGACTGTGGGAAAGGATGGAATGATGCCTTTTCTTTCTTCCGTTTCTCCCTGCCATCCTGAAGGAGACTTCAGAGCTTCTGTCCAGTGCTTTCTTGATGAACAACAATCGAATCTGGGTCTTTTTCTAGATATATGTACCCTTTCTCCCCCTGCGGCCCCCCACCCCCCTGAGCTCCCTGGGGAGCCTCCCATGCAGTAGTGACCATGCGTTTGGGGTCCATCTCACCTGCCAGGGTGTTGGGAGAGACAAGGGTGAGGGCACTGAGCAACCCAGCGGCTCCCTCCGTGTCCACGTCACCCTAGGTCTTCCCACTGGCTCTTCCCTGCAGGTGCATCCAGACCCTGGACTCCTGCATGCCCTGGCTGAGGGGCTTCTTATCCATGAGCCTGTCATCTGGGCAATGGCCCCAGGCTGGGGAGATCAGACAAACAAAAATTACATTCTCAGAGGGGAGAAGGGCTGTGTGCCCTCCTCAGTAATGGGCCAGGACCTGAAATGTATATTTTATGAGTTTGGGTTTGTTTGTTTGTTTGTTTGTTTTTAATCAGTGGTATTTAGTACTTCTAATTTCCTAGTTACAAAATAATACATGTTCATCAATAAAAATTTAAAAACACAGGTGAATAAAAGAATAATTTAAAAAAAACACATTCCATAGTGTCCCAACTTCAGGTTACCGTTGTTACAGACTTTAAAGTATTTACTTCTAATCTCTTTTTCGATATGCTTGCATACATTTTTTTTTGTTACTTTAAGCAAAATTAGAATCATATTGCGTATATATTTTTCACCTGTCCACATAACTTGACATCTCAGAGCTCTCTTCCTTTGGTTAAAAAACGTTCTGTATCTTGCTTTTAATGGCAGGACAAAATGCCATTGCACAGAATACTGTAATTGGTTTTCCTGACGCCCTATTGCTGGCCATTTATAGGTAGTTTCTGGTTTCTCGCTGTTGGGTGTGGTGCTACAGAGAGCCTCTTGGTTTGGGAGGGATCAGCTCTTTGATTAATTTCACGCGGCCTTGCCAATTTCAAGGACCTCTGATGGAAAAGGGAGAGTCTTGGCTCTGAGTCCCCCAGGGAGGGGGCGATGGCTAACAGGTTCATCTGGGTGCAGGATAAAATTTGTAGCAGCTGGAGCTGTCCCAATAAGAGAAGGGTCTTCTGTTTAGGGTAGTGAGGTCTTTCACTTGGGGTGGGGTGTCTGAAGAAGAGACCCGCGAGGAGCAGATTTCTGCATCAGGTGGATCCTGGGCCTTGACTCATTGCTCTGGATCTCATCTCCCTGCAGACTCTCCCTCCAGAACTCCATACAGAAGTGTAGACACAAGTGGCCTTTGGTGGCTCTGCTCCTCTCCCCAGTGGCTCCCTCCACATCCCCTAGAGAAGGACAAAATCGGTGTTCTATCTGCTGTTGTGTTATGCCCCTTTGACAGCTGGGAGAAACCAGGGATGGGTGGGATGGCCCTGCCCGCAGAGGGAACAGATGGGCTCCCTGCAGAGCCCAGCTTAGACAGAAGTGTGAGTTAATACCTGCATGTTAGTGGTGGAGCCTTCAGCCATCCAGCTCGCTCCTGAGACTGCCGCGGAGACCCATGCAGACACTGCTGCTCCAGGGCCCTCCTTCGGCTGGCTCAGGGAGAAGGGGCGCCGGTGTTCCTTCCATCTGTCCTCCCTCCCTCCCGCTCTCCCTCCCTCCCTCCTTTCCCTTCTTCCTTTTCTGTATTGGAAATGAGAACAGCTCCGCCCCTGACCATGATGAAAACACATTATAAATGTATGGCGGTGGCTGAACCAGCCCAGGCTTCCAGGAGACAGTGCAGGGAGGCCCGTTTACTGTCCTTCGTCCTCCTCCTGCCCTTACGAGAGCCGGGTGTCTGTTGACAGAGGGCGTTCCCATCCCTCGTTCCATTTGCAAGGGCAACAGTCCTTAGAGATGAGAGGAGCAGGTGTTTATTGCAGTGTCACAGAGGAAGAGAGGCTGAAGGACTGTTTTGCCGCGGTGCTGTGCACACGTGCCCGTGCCTCTCTGCAGCCCCAGTGGGATCGTGTCACTTTCTTACTATTGTCACACAAACCCCAGAGGGCAACTTGAGCCCAGCCTCACTTTATCTGTCTATCATCTATCTATCTATCTATCTATCTATCTATCTATCTATCTATCTATCATCTATCAAGATTTATTTACTTGAGAGAGAACGAAAGCAAGAGGGATCACAGAGGAAGAGGGAGAAGCAGATCCCCCAAGGAGCAGGGAATCCGATGCGGGATTTGATCCCAGGACTCTGAGATCATGACTCGAGCCGAAGACAGACAGACACTTAACCAACTGAGCCACCCAGGCGCCCCTCAGCCTCTCCTTTAAGAGTCATGTGGCTCTTTGTAGAATAGTGGCAGGAGGTGCTGGGGGTGGGCAGGAATACTGCGTCAGCTGATGACTCCTCACGGGGGCAGAAAGAGTATGAGGAGCATAGACCCAGGGCGTTGCTTTTGAGAGTTGCAGTTAATTAGACTGGGGGTATGGCCTTTACTTGAGAGCATTCACCTCCTAGTTCAGATTAATTTAAATTTGGGGAGAGTAATTGATGATGGAACTGGGTATGTTCTCAGCATTCCCAAATCATTTCACTTAAAGTAGCCCATTGAATTGGTTAATTGGTTTATCCAACTGTCCGTCCATCCATCCATCCGTCCATCCATCCATCCATTCATCCATCCATACATCTATCCATCCATTCATCCATCTATCCTTCCTTCTATTTTTTTCTTTCTTTCCATCCATCTGTCCATCCTCCTTCCTTCTATCCATCCATCTTATTTTTATCTATCTATCCACCATCCCTTCTTCCATCCATCCAGCCAGCCAGCCTGCTCTGGAGGCTGAGAGTGAACTGCCTTGAAAGCATAGAGTTTGGAAAGCCCTGGATTCATCTGTAGGACCACCCCCCTGCCATGAATTAACTGTATGACTATGGATGGATTATTTACCTCTCCATGACTGTTCAGCAATGAAATGTATGTGGAAATGGCGCCAACCTCATAAAGTTATTGTCAAGAGAAAACGAGATAATGCTGCGAAGCCCTTGGCACAGTGGGTGGCACAGGATCTTGGTGCCGTTACGTTCTAGATGCTGAGTTGGATACATCACTCTATCAGTGTAGTCTTTACAGAAATCCTCAGATGTTAGTGTGGCTCTCTGGAGGTCATGTAACTTACCAAACTCTCCCAGCTATGAAGTGAATTTGCAGTTTTTCTCCCTAGCCAAAGTGAATTTTGCTCCCCATGAATACCCCATAGTCTTTACTTTTGTGCACTGTCCAATCAGCATGTGGTAACCTTCTCTCTTGGGCCCAGCTCTTGAATGAAGGTGACCATGGGCACAGCTCCATGTGGCCTTTCAGGATCGGACCTCCGGCAACTGACCATACTTTCCCTTTTTCTCTTGCAGCCAGCCAAGCTTGCTGAGGCCTTCAAGTACTTCGTGCAGGGCATGGGATACAGTAAGTATGGCCTTTCCAGGCAGGTGGTGGGGCGAGGGGCAGGCATGGGAATGAAAATGCAATGACCTGAACTGAGCTTGAGTGAGTACTCTCTATCACCTTGGCCAGCCTCAGCTTTTTGCAAACTAGGAAGGTCAGGGAAAGAAATATTTTGGTGTGTGGAGGATGGGCGGCAATGCAGAGGTTCTAGTATCTTCTTTATACCGTGGTGGCTTCATCTCCCTCCGCTGATGAACAGCTGTGGTTTCATAGCAGGGAATTTTCTTTATTTTATTTTTTTAAATGTTTTTTATTTATTTATTCATGAGAGTCAGAGAGAGAGAGAGAGGCAGAGGCAGAGGGAGGAGCAGGCTCCCTGCCTAGCAGGGAGCCCGATGCGGGACTCGATCCCAGGACCCTGGGATCATGACCTGAGCTGAAGGCAGACGCTTAACCATCTGAGCCACCCAGGCGCCCCGGGAATTTTCTTGAGATTTAGGACTAACTCTTTAAGCACCAAAAAGAGAACAGTGGAACCATGAAAATCTTTTACATTCTGGTTACATGCTTTTTTTTAAATTTTAAATTCAATTTAATTAATGGATAGTGTATTATTAGTTTCAGAGGTAAAATTTAGTGATCGGTTGCATATATATGATCACGTGCTTTCTTAAGAGACTTCCCATTGTCACGATGGTGGTGGTGGTGATGATTATAGTGGTGATGGTAATGATGGAAGATTATTAGTAAATCCTTCATTTTTTTCTCATATAACCATCACAGTAATCCTATGTGATATTCTTTTTTTTTTTTTTTTAAGAGAGAGTGCGTGTGCACATGAGTGGGGTGAGGAGCAGCGGGAGGGGGAGAGAGAATCGTAGGCAGGCTCCACGCTCAGTGCCGAGCCCAGTGAAGGATTCAGTCTCACGACCCTGAGATCATGAGCTGAACCGAAATCAAGAGTCGGACGCTTAACCGACTGCACCACCCAGGTGCCCCATCCTATGGCATCCTCTTATCCTCATCTTACAAATGATGGAACTGAGGTTTGGAGAGATTAAGCAAGGAGCAGAGTGGGGAATCTTACTTTGAAAACCGTAAAGCTCTGTGTAAGTGGGTGATAAAGTTGTTTATATTCAAGACAGCGCATCTTTGCCAAATCCTTGGATTTGGGAATTGAAGGATAAATAGAAACATAATTCAAGGACTTGCTGTTTCTTGTGTGACGGTTCTAGTTTAATCGTTAGACACCTCCAGCCCTTTTTCAGAAACACAGTCCCATGACCAGGACCGATCATGCCAAGTGGAAGCACTCTGGTGGGTGCGGCCACAGATGGTCCAGTTGAGGTGTGAGCCGTGACATGGTTCTTTTGGCCTTTTCTGCCGACTGCTTAGAATTTATGAGCCCATCTTAATGGGGAAGTCTGAATGTCTGATCTCTTCCTTTTTTTTTTCCCCTGAGACTGAATCTATTCATGTTCGTTTAAAATAGTAATGGTATATTTGGTAAGCTGACCGCAGTGTTGAGGTTGGCCACAGCCGTGTTTAGTTTCTAGAGAGGCCAAGAGCCCGTGAGCCTGATTTACATGCATCAGGCAGAGTCCATGTCCCTAGGTGCCCTATTCCAACAGAAAACATCTGTCTGTGGGTCTGTGGACTTCTGAGCTGCCTTCCCGAGGGAAAGTGAGCAGGCAGAGGTAGGGCGCGGGGAACGCCGCCGGGCAGACTTGATTTACCTGGCAGGGCGTACATCATGACTTGTTTGCCTTGGACCTCTCTTGGGTTTGGATTTCTGCCTCGCAGTGTATTCTGGGGAGAAAGGAAGTGAAAGGCAGGCCTTGTTCCCTCTGACACACACACACACCAGCTTCTATTTCCAGAAAGCTGAAGCCTCCGGCAGATTACAGGAAAGAGAGCAGGAAGGGCTTTTGTCCCAGAGGCATGAACCACAGAGAACACAAGTAGTCATCTACTGAGTGACTGTTCAAGCTGGGCCAGGCATGACTCGCTCTTTGCATCCATGACACCATTCCGTGGTCACTCGCGAGCCCTGTGAGGTCAGGAAAACTCTCGGATTTGGGGTTGAGAAATAGGGATCAGAAAAAACGTGAGCAACAGATGTGGGAGCCATCCCGATCGTCTCTGGATTTAAACATTAGCTCTTGGAGAAGGGAGTTCAGTGCAGCAAGGATTCCTTTTGTTTGTGGATATGTGTCCCAGCAAGCCAACCCCTGCGCGCGTTCCGTGACTGACGTAACCGCTGAGCACGTACGTGTATTTATCGGTTTCCTCGGATTGTGACATTGGTTGTTCAAGGTGGCCGTTGCGGTGATGCTCTATTTGGGTGTGTACTAGTTTCCTAGGGCTGTTGTACCAAATATCCACAAACCAGATGGCTTAAAAAATACCAGAAATGGGGACGCCTGGGTGGCTCAGTTGGTTAAGCGACTGTCTTCGGCTCAGGTCATGATCCTGGAGTCCCGGGATCGAGTCCCACATCAGGCTCCCTGCTCAGCAGGGAGTCTGCTTCTCCCTCTGACCCTCCCCTCTCTCATGTGCGCTCTCTCTCACTCATTCTCTCTCTCTCAAATAAATAAATAAAAATCTTAAAAAACAAAACAAAACAGAAATGTGTTCTTTCACAGTACTATAGCTCTAGAAGCGAGATGTCCAAAATCAAGATGTATGCAAGATCATGCTCACCTCAGAGGTTCTCGAAAGATCTTTCCTTGCCTCATCTCTGCTACTGGAGGGAGCTAGCAGCCCTTGCTGTTCCTTGGCTTGTAGCCACATGACTCCCATCTCTGCTCTGTGTTCACGTGGCCTTCTTCTGTGCGTGTGTGTGTGTGTGTGTGTGTATGTGGAGGGGTGTTCTTTCTCCTCTTATGAGCAACCAGCCTCATGCAGTATGACCTCATCTTAACAAAATGTATCGGCAAGGACCGTAGTTCCATTCTTAGATTCTGGTGGCTATGAATTAGGGCTGATGGCTATGAATTTCGGGGGGTGGAGGGCAGGATTCAGCCCAGTGCAGGTGGGGGGATCGCTTTGTCTTCATTTCACTTTCTCAGCCATCTGCTATGTGCGCAAGGGTATTTTAAGTCCTGAAGGACGGGTGGGTGCCGTAGATAGTTCCTGGGAGCTCACAGGCTTCTCTGGAAGAGACAACAGGTGACAGCCGGCTGCAGATTTGCTGGGTGGCCTCGGTTTCCCCACCTGTGGCATGGAGGGATTAGCCCCGCTGACGCCCTCCAGATATTGTGGACAGTAGGGGGTTGCGGTACGCGGGCACACACGTGGGTGCCGATACTAGGGGATTGGTATTCCCATTTTACTGATGGGGATGGAGGGGCTCAGAGACGGTCACTTCCAAAGTCACACAGCTGTAAGCGAGCGGCAGACTTGGGATTCAGACCTACGTCTAGGTTCAAGCCACCGTGTGATCGCAAGTCCCTACCCCCATCGGGGACTTGCTCTCCGCCTCTGTGAGTGGATACAGAGAGGATGGGGAGCCCGGTGGCTGGATGGCCGCAGGGATGGACGGGTCAGGCAGGAGGAGGCCCCGTGGCTGGCGTGCAGGTGCCCCTGGTGTTCAGGTCCCTAACCGGGTGCCTCTTCTCTCTGTCCCCAGTGCCCTCAGCCAGCATGACCCGCCTGATGCGCTCCCGCACGGCCTCCGGCTCCAGCGTCACGTCCCTGGAGGGCGCCCGCAGCCGCTCCCACACCAGTGAGGGTGCCCGCAGCCGCTCCCACACCAGCGAGGGTGCTCGCCTGGACATCACCCCCAACTCCGGGGCCACCAGCAACAACGCCGGGCCCAAGTCCATGGAGGTGTCCTGCTAGGCGGCCCGTGCCACGGCCGCCCCTGGACTCTGGGCTCACGCAGCTGCCCTTCCTCTGGCCCTTCCCGCCCCCGCCTGCCACACCACACATAACTCGTATTAACCCAAAGCTTATGGTGTAAGAGAGCTCTGGGGGGACACAGTTAGACTGGGTTTGTCAAGGGCGCCTTTCCCAGCAGGGGCAGGGTGGGCGGACCGAAGGAAAAGAAGTATCTCGGTGTCCTGTGCTCATTGACGGCTGGCCTGGTGGCCGCCCCCTCACCCTCCCTCAGAGACGCCAAACTGCCAAAAACAAGACACGCCGCCCTCAACACTTCCTAAATCCAGGCCTCGGCTGACCCGAGCATCCTGGTTCTAAAGGGCACTTTGTCGGAAGCCCAGCCCCTCTACTTCCTGTTTCCTCTCCAACTAAAGACCAACTGACCCAGTTTCTGGAAACAGAACCCTGTTCCCATTTGGGGAGGGGGAGAGCAGCGAATTGTGGGTAGCTCTTTTTAACTGCACAAAACAGGAAGCGGGAGAGAGGTGGCATTTATGTGGAGGCTAGAATGCTTGGAAAAACAAATCTACGCAGTTGACGTGAAGACATAGATTTTTAAAGTTTGTGTATATATCCACTTTTTAATGCCGAAACATACAAGCCTGTTTTTCTGGAACCCTTTCACTGGACAATGAAAGTGGGCAGCAAAATCTCCGGGCTTTCCAAAGAAATGCTCTTGGCAAACATTGGTATCATTGAATTTGAGCCTTTGGCTCTGCTGTCTGCTGCTGCCTCCATAGCCGGCCCCGACTTCCCACCCCAGATACGTGAGTGAGGATTTCGTTTGTGGGGAAGACGACTTAGGTTTGTACTTGCTTTCTTTGATATGGAGGGAAACATTCCCAACAGCCATATCCGGCTGTGATGAGTCTCCATGCAGTGGGGGCGGTGGGGGGGGGGGAGTGCAGGGGAATAGGGTGGGGGTGGGGGGTATTTGGGTTATTAGGTGTAAGGGATTTTCTGTGGTTGTGATGGGATCCAGTGCAGTCATGATTTCAGTCGATCCCACCCTGGTTCCCAGGAATCTTGTGTGATTGAGTCAAATCCAGCTTCCGATCTCTGCCAAGTGGGGTTGAATCTGACCTTGACAGCCGAAAGTTTCTGACCTGGTAACATCACTGGATCTTTGGGGAGAACTGTTTGCTCTTGCAGGGGGTGGGGATTCACACGGGGGGTGTTGGCTGAGAAGATGAAAGGATTCTGGAATATTCCACGGGATTGCCTTCCCTCTCCTGCCTTCCCCTCCTCCCTGTCCCTCTAACCTTTTGCTGAATGGGGCGGCACCACTGACATTTCTGGGCAACGTCAAGTTCCTGTACTACTGGCTTCTGATTCTCATTTTGGCTAACCATGGATCTTCTCGGAGGAAGTTTGATCTGAGTGGGATGAATCGATGCGAATCAGCCGCTGGGGCCTGGTGCTTTCCAGGACCCTAGAGTTGGTAGAAGGAAGTAGTCAAGGCTTCTAGATAGCTGGAGGGGCAGTGACTCAGTTTCCTGCCCGTACCACCCGGAGGCTTCCCCCCCGCCGACCTGTGCAGAAAGGTCAGGGGTCAGGGCAGGAGTGGCTGAATCGACACAGGAAACTGTAAAGTCTCTCCAGAGGAGTTTCTTAATGAGATATTTGTATTTATTTCCAGACCAATAAATTTGTAACTTTGCAGTGGCTTGTGTCTTTTTCCTCTGAGACATCGTGTGTGCGACCCACAGTCGCAGGAGGGGTCCTTCCTTACCTGGGGCCTCCCGACACCTGCCTTAGGGGCATCACTGTCCCCTGAGAATATAATGCGAGCCACAGATGGAAGTTTATATTTTCTAACAGCCGTAGTTTAAAAGGTAGAAAGAAAACAAGTGAATTTTAATAATATATTTCCCTTAACCCAGCATATCCAAAACATTACCATTTCAACATAGAATCAATATGACAAGGATTAAGATAATTCACCTTCTTTATGCTAAGAAAATCAGTATTTCACAGGACAGTGCCTCTCAATTCAGACCAGCCCCATTTCAGAGGATCAGTAGCTCAGGCAGCACAGTGACAAAGGGTTAAAGCTTTTCAACCTATATTTAGAAGGAAACATCTTTTTTTTTTTTTTTACATTTTATTTTATTTACAGGAAAGCATGTGATAAAACCACTCCCTTTCTCACACCCAGTGACATCGCTATAATGCTTGTTTCTGCTATACTGAAAAAAAAATGTAAACACAACAGGTTTTAGTATGACCTCCCATTGTTATTTAGGCTTCTTAGGATTAGTTTAAAATTCACGAGAACAATTGTAAAGATGGTGCAGAGCTCCCATACACCCCACACCGAGTTTCCCCTGTTAGTAAGACCTCACTTCACTATGGTGCACTGGTCACAACTAAGAAATCAACATTGATACATTACTGTTAACTAAGCTCCATACTTTTTTTTTTTTTTTAAGATTTTATTGGACAGAGACACAGAGAGGGAACCCAAGCAGGGGGAGTGGGAGAGGGAGAAGCAGGCTCTCCGCCGAGCAGAGAGCCCGATGCAGGGCTCGATCCCAGGACCCTGAGATCATGACCTGAGCCGAAGGCAGACGCTTAACGACTGAGCCACCCAGGCGCCCCTAAGCTCCATACTTCATTGGAATGTCACTACTTTGTCCCTGTTGCTTTGTTCTGTCCCAGGATCCCATCAAGGATGCCCCATTATATGTGGTCCTCACGTCTCCTTACCTTCCTCTGGTCAATAATGGTGTCTCCCCTTTCCCTGCTTTAGCTGATCTTGACAAGTTTTGAGAAGCACTAGTCAGGCATGTTGTAGAATGTCCTTCAGTGAAGGTTTCTATGATACTTTTCTCATGGCTCAACTGGGGTGATGGGTTTTTGGAAGAAAGATCACAGAGGCGAAGTGCCATTATTAGCATGATGGGTCGTTGGGAGTCGCCACAGATGCTGTTGACCTTGATCACCTGGCTGAAGCAGTGTCGGCCAGGGTCCTTCACTGCCCAGTTACTTTTTCCGCTTTCCCATACTTGGTCTTCGGAAGGAAGTCACTAAATCACTAAATGCAGCTCCGCCTCGAGCCCGCCTTCCCTTTTAAATAGCTATCCTGCTGTTATGCTGGATTTTCTTCGCTTACGTGCAGTTTCTTCGAGTGTAATTCGCTATAAATTCACTATAAGACTTGACGTCTGCGTTATGGTACAAGGGGTGGACATGCTGTAGTTTCAGAAATGGATTTGGAGTGGAAGGAGCACAGAAGGGTAAGAAGGCATTCCTAGCCACGGGGCCCTGTGGCCTCCAGTGCGGAGGAGGGAGGATGTGTGCCTTGGTGAGTAGCTTGTACTGTGGACCGGGGCGGGTGACCATGAGTGCGGGGCGTGGCAGGCGGCGAGACAGGGAGTTCTGTATGTAAAATAAAATACATAGGACTACAAAAGAAGGGACTTAAGAGTGGCATGTAATTATCCACATGTCAACAACTGTGTGACATATTATATTGTGCTTAAGTTAAATAGTTAGCATTGAGGCAGATCTCAACATAATGGCAAGGTGTGATAAGTGTATCTGGAGATACCTGCCACAATGTGATTTCAACTGGTGATAACTGGGGTGTGTTGCCTAAGCTTAAATGGAGGGGTACGCTAAACAGCAACTAGAGATTAGTCAACACAGAGACACATTTTACCCTCATCCCAGTACACGGCCCCTGAATTCTAAACACGGACTGCTGGTTGGAGCACCCCAGCTTAGGGAGACTTACCTTTAGACGCAGGAGGCGGAGCTTTTCCCACACTCACTAGTAAGCACCTTTTCTGTGCCAGGTGCTGTGCGGGCATCAGAACCGAGAAAGGGCAGGGGATGGCAGAGCTGGGAAGCAAGCACCGCGGTAGTGGGTGCCTACGTGAGCTTTGGGAGTGGGGGTGTGGCGGGGCCTGCCACGCTCAGCAGCTCGGGACTCGGGCTTCCACCGAGGGAAGGAACTTTTACAGGTGTTTGCGTGCACCAGATGTATTGAGAGAGAGTATACCCAGAGGCTTTTTGCCAGCTGGGGGATCCATTTCTGTTCTCCTAGCTGCTTGTTTGGGTTTCTATCCCCTAACCCTTGTGTTTCATAGTAGTCGGGAGAGCAAGTGTGCACTGAGATGAACCATCTCCGGGATCTGTAGGGATAGTGGGGGCCTTCACCCGCCACCTTTTTCATTGTCCCTTCTCAGACACACCCTCACTGTCGTTGGATTGGTCCCTCGATGTAGCCCCAATCCATCTGGTTACATACTAGTCTTGGGCTACTTAGGCTGCATGGAAACTCTTCAACTGTGTCCCACATGGAATCCAAGGGCAGAAGGTAAAACCCGGCCGTGTGAGGTTGGAGACCAGATAAGGGAGGGGACCTGGGGAGCACATCAGCCTCATTCTTTGTTCTTTCCAAGATTTCTGTGTATCTCCAAAGCATAAAACGCTAGTCCTAACCCAAAGGCTATGACCTTCAGGTTCTTGGAAATGGAACCAACCAGGTCTTTGTGTCTCCTAAGGGAAAGAGAATCATTGATTCAGCTTGACTTAGGTGTCCACTTGCTGTCCAATCAACTATGACTGGGTTCACCCTCCTCCCACCCCCTCCCCCCACATAAGTGCTTCAGGGGTTCTAAGCAATTGATGTAGTTGTAACAGGTGAATTGTCGTGTGCTCTGCATGGCTAAATTCATTGACAGCCAAACTCACAGTTGCAAGACAGAGCCTTCCTCACCCCTGCTTTGAGAAGTGTTTTCTTAATGCCCCGCCCTCCGCAGGAAGCACCTGCCAGGTGACAAGTGTGCCCTGCAGAGCCGGACACAGTAGTACGTGCGGAATCTGTAATGTGGTTTACCTTAGGCGTCCTTCCCTCCGAGATTTCTCTTCTATCCCCAGGGCCAGCACAAATGCCCAGCACCTAACAGGAGGTTTTCGTTAAATAGATAAACACTTCCTCTAATAAGAGTAATATTTATCAAGTACTATTTTTCTTTTTTTCTTTTTTTTTTTTAAAGATTTTATTTATTTATTTGAGAGAGAGAGAATGAGAGACAGAGAGCACGAGAGGGAAGAGGGTTAGAGGGAGAAGCAGACCCCCCGCTGAGCAGGGAGCCCGATGCGGGACTCGATCCCGGGACTCCAGGATCATGACCTGAGCCGAAGGCAGT